CAAATTAAAGGGGAAGGCAAAAAAAGAAATAAGGTAGGGTGTCAGGCTGACATACTAGCACACAGTACCCAGTAAGCTGTGGGAAACCTCATTGATCCAATTTCCAAGTTAGGTGAACATGACCCAGAACTTAGATTAGATCAAAGAGATTTATGGAGCTGTTATGTACTAAGCTTGGATCCTAGAACAATAGGCAGGTAGGATCCTAGAATGCAACAACTGATTGGCCTGCAGGAGAAGACCAATCAGGCTCCAGGAGGGAAGCAGAATCAGCCAAACAGACAGGACTCATTGTGTAAATAATGTATATAAAAGCCTGAGGTTTGGGGGGAAATTTAATCACTTTACAAGCTGCAATAAAGAGCATGAAATCACTGCAGGACTCCAAGTATATTTCAGGAGCGCTGCTTTGGATTTCCATAGGTCAGCCCTGTACGTGTGCGGATTTATCACCTGCCCCATCCAAAAAACTTAGGGAAAGTAACCAAAACAAAGCTGCATCTACAACAGAACAGAATGAAATTTAGTGAATTTCATGGGAATTTTCCCCGTAAAAGCTAGCCTGTGCACAGTGCTGATAGGTCGTCCTTTGTGTCAGTCAGTCTGGAAGCCACCTTGTTTTACAGGATTTACCGTATTTTTTGCTCTATAAGACTCACTTTTTCCCTCCTAAAAAGTAAGTGGAAATGTGTGTGTGTCTTATGGAGCGAATGCAGGCTGTGCAGCTATCCCAGAAGCCAGAACAGCAAGAGGGATCGCTGCTTTCACTGCCTAGCGATCCCTCTTGCTGTTCTGGCTTCTGAGATTCAGAATATTTTTCTTTCTTGTTTTCCTCCTCCAACAACTAGGTGCGTCTTGTGGTCTGGTACGTCTTATAGAGCGAAAAATATGGTAAACAGCTGCTTCCGGCCTGTGCCCACAGCCAGCAGACTGATCGCACAGCCAGCAAAACGTAGGCAGGACTGGTGTGCCCACCCCAAACGCACACACGCACCCATTTCCATTCTGTGAAATGCCAGCTTCAAACTTCTGCACATCACACAACTGTCAAAAGCACAGCACCTCCGTGGAATTGACAACTTGAGAGGCAGAAAGCGGCTTCCAGCAGCTGCCTGACACATGGAAATTTAGTAGGCGGAATTTTCCCTTCCAATTTATCTTCATACCAGGAAAATATTCGTGGGGTCGATTTATCTGGGTCAGGTAGCTACAGATGAAGACACAGGTTGTTTTTTTTTAAAAAAAAGACGGCAACTCAACATTCCAGCTGTTGCCGCCAGCCTCTCTCTCTCTCCATGAGTCAGTCGTCCTCACAGTCTGCATCCTTCCATCTGGTCTGGTTTCCCCTCTATGCCCTCCCTCCCATCCCCGAAGGAAACTGCCACTGTGTAAATGGGGGAAGCACCCCATTGCCTTTTAATGTAAATGGCTGTTTGCACAGCAGTGTTGCAAGGGAGGCAATGATTGGTGTAACGGCCTCCCTTGGCACAGCTTTACCCCAGTGACAGATCACTTTGCATCATCCAGTTAAAGCCCTCAAGTGCCTTTGGCCAGCTCCACACGCAGAGAGAGAGACCTAATAATTCTAGTGCTTTAAACAGGCACTTTAAACAGTGGCACATCATAAACAAGGCGAGGGCCATGCCAGCTCCTCCAAGCAGCTACATGCATGGGACAGAGTCCAGGAGCCTGAGCTGACGGACGGAGATTCCTGACACCTGTTTGCTGCCAGCTCTAGGGAACAGAAACAGCTTCACACTGTCGTTATAAAACAAAAACTACTAAGCAGGTTGACGCCTTTGTGCATTTGCTCTTTGGGATGTTTTGGACCTGTGGCCCTCCAGATCATAGCTGTTAACCGTCCCTTATTTGGCGGGAAAGTCCCTTATCCCAGCACTGTGTCCTGCTGCTGTCCCTTATTGATGATGTCCCTTAAATTTCCCGGGTTTCAAAGGAAGCAGCTCCTCTCCCTCCCTGCCGGCCAGGGAGGAGGGAGGCTCCAACTGTGTTGCTTGGCTGCGTTGCTCACCCAATAAGGAGTCTAAGAATGACTGGGGGGGTGGAGCTTGCATGCCTTGTGCCGATCAAATCGGCCGCGTTGCCTGGGGACTCGCCTTTGCTCAGCGCTTCCCAGTGGAGAGGCGACGGTGGTTTTCCTTGTTGCATCCCCCTTTGCCAGGTTGCTGTGCTGTGGGAACCACCGCTTGAGGCTTCGTTTGGCTGCTGGCTGGGCTTTCTATCTTTGGCTTGGAGGGGCTCAGAAGTTGAACATACCTGTGCTGAGAAAATCCCTTATTTTGGCTGCTGATCCCTTATTTTCGAGGCTGCTGGTCCCTTATTTTCAAATCTGTAAGTTGACAGCTATGCTCCAGATATTGCTGAACTCCAGCTCCCAGCAACCGCAGACAGCCTGGCCAATGGGCAGTAGGAGCTACTATTCCAGATTCACCATCCCTTTTTAAATGCATGTCCAGGTTGTGAATAGTGCCATGCACCTTGCCAGTATTTTGCTGGCCCAATCAGGAAACCCAAATTCTGTCAAGGAACCAATATTGTGGGCTGAAAAGCCAGTAAAATCCAGTTTCTACCAAGCTCTGTCTGTAGCTGTTTCTTTTCTTACATCTACATTCCAGCCTTTCTCCAGGAAACCCAAGGTAGTGATCCTCCTCCTCATCTCCATTTTATCAGTGCTTTTTTTCAGCTGACGCACAGTTCCAGCACCTCTCAGGTAGGTACTATTACACCTGAACGACAGACTGCACAAGGCACTCGGTTGCACTCTTCCTCACTATGGCAAGTTGTAATGCCTATAATGTTTAGGTAAGGCCTGATATTTTGATGGAAACAGTCTGTCAAGTCGTGCACCCATAGCAGTGACCATAGGAGGAATGACCGCTGGGAGGAGTGCAGAGAGAAGAAACACCCTGGTGCATCTGCAACAGTACAAGCAGACACCTTGACCTGCCCCAGCTGCAACAAAACATGTCTTTCCTATATCGGTCTCTACAGTCAAAGCAGGGACACTCCTCCATTGTCTTCTGAGACAGATGGATGCCAACCAACCAGATATTCTGATGGGTTTTTAATGTTATCATTCTACCTATAATCAATAAATGTTTTAGGAAGCTGCCTTATACCAGATCAGACTCTTTGTCCATCTGGTATAGAAATGAGGACTCTCTAGTCCCAAACTTGGGTCTCTAGCTGTTTTTGGACTACAGTTCCCATCATCCCTAACCACTGGTCCTGTTAACTAGGGATGATGGGAGTTGTAATCCCAAAACAGCTAGAGAAGCAAGTGTGGGAAATCCTGCTCTAGCCCATTGGCCAAGATCAGTCTGCGGGCCCCAGCTTGCGGGGTTATTGGGTTGTTGTTCTTATTTTGATTATGTCTTTTGTGGTTTTATATTTTGATTTTGTTCTGTGAACCGCCCTGAGACTTCCAGGTATAGGGCACTATATAAATTCAATAAATAATAATAATAAACTACATTCACTTGCTGTGACGTCTGTTGAAGAGCTAGATGGTGAGGTTCAAGCATAACAGGGTTTGCCTTGCCAGCTCATTCCCTGCAAGGAATGCACTGGCAAAGCAGACTCCTGCAGCCAGTAAAATTAAACCTGCCACACATCAGCCAATAAGTTCAGTCTTGCTCAGTTTGGATGCATATGCCTGTTCCCCTACTGGGAACAAAAACTCACCATCAAAGACAGTGCTATGGCATCCCTGTGCTGTTCTTTAAACTTCCAAAACCCAGTGGTTTAAAGAGCACTATGGGGCAGTTTGCAAAAGGGCTTTCAAACAGTCCCATACTGTGCTTTCATGTCCCAAAGGCCAGGCAACTGACAAGCAGGCAGCCCCACTCACCTGTCAATTTAAAGGTAAAGGTAAAGGGACCCCTGACCATTAGGTCCAGTCGTGACTGACTCTGGGGTTGCGGCGCTCATCTCACTTTATTGGCTGAGGGAGCCAGCGTACAGCTTCCAGGTCATGTGGCCAGCATGACTAAGCCGCTTCTGGCGAACCAGAGCAGCGCACAGAAACGCCGTTTACCTTCCCGCCGGAGCGGTACCTATTTATCTACTTGCACTTTGACGTGCTTTCGAACTGCTGGGTGGGCAGGAGCAGGAACTGAGCAATGGGAGCTCACCCCATTGCGGGGATTCGAACCGCCGACCTTCTGATCGGCAAGTCCTAGGCTCTGTGGTTTAACCCACAGCGCCACTCGCGTCCCCTACCTGTCAATTTAGCCCTCCTCTAATTCCCACCTCTGATCTAGTACACTAAGTGACAGCAGCTCTTGAGGGTCTCAGCTAGAGAAGGGTCTTTCCCATCCAAGGAGACTTTTAACGGGGGATGCCAGGGATCAGTTCTAGAGACATTCTGCACAGAAAGCATGTATTGCAGCATGGAGCTATAAGTACTCCCCATATTACAATATTCAAGCAAATGGAAGACTGCAGCTATCAGATCATTGTGCCTGGAGTCAGACCTTGCAATGGATACTGCTCCCCAGGCTTAATCATAATTAATAATAATTAATAATAATAGGTCAAACTTGGCTCTAGTGCAGTCTGGTCTATGCAGCTCTGCACTCTGTTAAATTAATGTCCTCACTGACACCTAATAAATATACTTTGATGAATGTCTCCACTGTTAACTAATAAATATACTTTATTCTACTGGGATTGTTTGTGATGTTACTTTTCCTAAATACCCTTGGAATTCTTTTTTTAAAAAAAAATGGCAAGGAGCTGCTGTCGAGCTGCCCTACATCAAGATGATTTTCAGGCTGGGTCAGGATCAGGGCAATATTTCAAAATGCACGTTTTTGGTTGCAGATTTGGAAGGGATTCTCTTCCACAGAGTTCAGGTCTTGAAGGTTTTGCAGATTCACAGTCAAGCAGACCTTTGTGCCTGAGCAGGGCAAAAAAAAAAAAAAAGGGAGGCCAGGCCACAGTAGTGAGGAGGCTCCCTCCTGCGTGGTGTCTCCAGGGAAATGCAGGTCTCTTACCAGTTTGGCATAGAACAACCAGGTAAGCACTCCGGCAGTGCAGTTATTTTCATATAAATTAAGCAAGACTGCATGTGTATTCCAGAGCATAGCTGTCAACTTACAGATTTGAAAATAAGGGACCAGCAGCCTCGGAAATAAGGGATCAGCAGCCAAAATAAGGGATTTTCCAAGCACAGGTATGTTCAACTTCTGAGCCCCTCCGAGCCAAAGGCAGAAAGCCCAGCCAGCAGCCAAATGAAGCCTCAAGCGGTGGTTCCCACAGCGCAGCAACCCAGCAAAGGGGATGCAGCAAGGAAAACCACTGTTACCTCTCCGCTGGGAAGCGCTGAGCAAAGGCGAGTCCCCAGGCAACGCGGCCGATTTGATCGGCACAAGGCATGCAAGCTCCACTCCCCAGTCGTTATTAGACTCCTTATTGGGTGAGCAACGCAGCCAAGCAACACAGTTGGAGCCTCCCTCCTCCCTGGCTGGCAGGGAGGGAGAGGAGCTGCTTCCTTTGAAACCCGGGAAATTTAAGGGACACCATCAATAAGGGCAGCAGTGGCACACAGCACTGGGATAAGGGACTTTCCCGCCAGATACAGGACGGTTGCCAGCTATGTTCCAGAGCCTCCCACCCCCGCAAGTGCACTGCTGCAAGCTAGAAATTTGGCATCAGAATGTCCCCAGAGAAGGTAAGATGACCTTGCATCAAAGCAAGTGTCCCCCCACCCACACTTTCCACTGCATCCTCCCATCACTTCGCTTATTGCAAGAAGTCCAATCCTTTGGGAGGTCTTGCAGAGCAAACTGCTTCCCCACCCAACTATAAATGTGCACCCTGAATTTGCCAGTGTATGACTGAACCCTAACCTGAAACAGCAAGCAGTTTGGCAGCACCCATTGTCCCCACCCGCTCCGAGTACAGTGCCTTATCAGGAAAGGATTGCAGTCATTCCAACGCAGGAAGTGATCAGGCAAAAGGAAAGACCAGGCGCACAGTGACACAAGGACTGCGATAAGGTTTCTTCTCATGACAGTTATGCTAAACTCCAGCCACAGTCCCACTCCAGGAGATGCGCTAAGGACATTAACACAAGATAATAAACTCCAACAAAGTACTCACCAGGTGCAGCACAGTCCAAAACAAACCTCCATCAAGCACAGAGAACCAGCTCAGGTCCAAATGTGATCCAAAGGCAAGGTCAGGAAACAGTCCAAGACCAGTATATAAGAGGGAGGTTATATAAAGGTGCGTATCAGCCACTCAGGGTACATAGCAGTGCTGGATTAAACCCTGTGGAGGTCCTTAGGCAGTTGAAATCTCAGTGACAGATATCCCCACTGGTGGGAATAATTTTCCTTCAAGATATTATTTTGATAAGTTGTCACAGGACCCCTAAAAAGTGGGGGGGGGCCCGATAGGCTGGTACCTACTCTGCCTATTAGATATTCATACCTTGGACACGGGTGGTTCTGTAGTCTAAACCACTAAGCGTCTTGGGCTTGCTGATCAGAAGGTTGGCGGTTCGAATCCCCGTTGTTCTGTCCCAGCTCCTGCCAACCTAGCAGTTTGAAAGCATGCCAGTGCAAGTAGATAAATAGGTACTGCTGTAACGGGAAGGTAAACAGCATTTCCATGCGCTTTGGTTTCCGTCACGCCAGAAGCGGTTTAGTCCTGCTGGCCACATGACCCAGAAAGCTGTCTGTGGACAAACACCGGCTCCCTAGGCCTGAAAGCAAGATGAGCAACCCCATAGTCGCCTGTGACTGGACTTAACCATCCAGGAGTCCTTTACCTTTGAGTCAAGAGTCCTGTGTTGCTTCCCACAACTAAATGCCTCAAAAGGGAGGCCTTATATAAACACACACTGGCCTCCCAAACCACAGCTGCTAGCAATCAAGGGGGTAGTAGGCCTGGTTTACTCTCAAGAATTCTGCTTACTCCTGAGTAGACCAGCAGCTCTGAGTCTTTAGAGGCATACTACACTGTTGCTCTCCCACAGGGATGCAAAGCTTTTTTGCTGGTGGTGTTCTCAAGTCGTCTCTTCTGCAGGTTGCAGAGGTTCCTCAAGGGTGGGGTCAGCAAACTTTTTCAGCAGGGGGGCCAATCTACTGTCCCTAAGGCCTTGTGGGGAGTCAGACTATATTTTGAAGGGGGGAAATGAACAAATTCCTATGCCCCACAAATAACCCAGAGATGCATTTTAAATAAAAGCACACATTCTACTCATGTAAAAACACCAGGCAGGCCCCACAAATAACCCACAGGTGCATCTTAAATAAAAAGTCACATTCTACTCATGTCAAAACATGCTGACTGACTGCAGGCCAGATTTAGAAGGCCTTAAATTGCCTACCCATGCTCCAGGGGGTCCTCCACATTGGACTTGGTGGGTGGTGAGGGGGCTCCTAGCTGCTTCTCAAAGCCCTCAACCTGTGGGGTGCCCGGTTAAAGATAAAGGTAAAGGGACCCCTGACCATTTGGTCCAGTCGTGACTGACTCTGGGGTTGCGGCGCTCATCTCGCTTTATTGGCCGAGGGAGCCGGCGTACAGCTTCCGGGCCATGTGGCCAGCATGACTAAGCCGCTTCTGGCGAACCAGAGCAGCACACAGAAACGCCGTTTACCTTCCCGCCAGAGCAGTACCTATTTATCTACTTATGTGCTTTCGAACTGCTAGGTTTGCAGGAGCAGGGACCGAGCAACGGGAGCTCACCCCGTCGCTGGGATTCAAACCGCCGACCTTCTGATCGGCAAGTTCTAGGCTCTGTGGTTTAACCCGGGGTGCCCGGTTAGTGCCCTCCAAGTTCCCCATGCCAGGGGGCCAGGCACGGCAGCCGCTGCTTCTGCCTATTTGCCTGGCTTACTGCCAGGCTCTGCCTTGAATAGGTAGGCCGAGAAAGATGGAGCGGTGCCACGGGTCTCCCTTATTTCTTCTGTCTCTCGGTGTGGTGGCTACTGTCTCCTCAGGAGTCGGCAGGAAGAGCAGCAGGGAAAATGCCAACATAAACATGGGGGGCAGGGAGCTGGTGGGTCCTGAGACCCCCCCTTCAGCTTCCGCTACCTGTCTGCCCCAGGTCTATGGAAGATTGCAATATTCCCCAAAATGAAAATCTGGACAAAGTTGAGCTTCTTTTCTTTTCTCAAAGTTGTTGAGATTTTGGGGAGGAACATCACCCTGCAAATAAGTTTGGGGCTTTCTCCAATTTTTGAAGGATTCCCCTCCCCCCCCCACACACAAACAAAATAACCCCTTTGCCATATGTCTGGGTTTTCCTGGACGTTTTTCCAATCTAACGAAATTCCACCCAGACGCAAAATGGCTTCCTGATTCCCGGAACGTGTCCAGGAAAACCAGGTTGTATGGCAGCCCTAGCAATTTAGGGGTCCTGTGACAATAACATTGGTTTATTAAAATTGGTTGGTCAGTAAAATCAAAAGCATATTAGATCATTTGTGAGGCTGCCACCCCCACCCCCGAGATTTCGACTGCCAAGAGGCCTCCACAGGGTTTAATCCGGCACTGAGAATTTCTAACAGGCAGAGTTTGGGTACAGGTGGCTACTTTTCATTAATGTAACATATAGGACTTGGCTATACAAATATACCGTATTTTTCGCTCTATAAGACGCACCAGGCCTCAAGACGCACCTAGTTTTTGGAGGAGGGAAACAAGAAACAAAATATTCTGAATCTCAGAAGCCAGAACAGCAAGAGGGATCGCTGCGCAGTGAAAGCAGCAATCCCTCTTGCTGTTCTGGCTTCTGGGATAGCTGCACAGCCTGCATTCGCTCCATAAGACGCACACACATTTCCACTTACTTTTTAGGAGGGGAAAAGTGAGTCTTATAGAGCAAAAAATACGGTAAACGTTTTAAGTGTTTGTTTCAAGTGCATTATATAGATTTGACACTAGATGGCGATGGTGAGCTTATGGCAAATTCAATATATTTATTTTTAAAAAGCAGTTTTTTATATGTGTCTGGATTCCACCATAGTCAAATTCTTACCATACTGTTGGAGTCCCACTCTCCACATGCCCACCCTTTCAACCCATCAATAAACTATGGGACCTGATTTAAGGTTCTGATTTAGTGTGTAAAAATCCTTATACAGCTTAGGACCCAGATTCTTGTTGGAGTGCCTTTTCCTGGAAATGGGTTTGTGGATTAAATCCCACCCAAAGAGAGCAACAATCTAGAAGCCCCCTTCTCAAAATTCCCATACTGTAGTTTTGGTTCCCTTTACAGACACCTGGATTGCTTTAGCTGAGAGGGACAAACTTGCATGCATTAGACTACCCCACCTCCAAATGGTCTAGTATTGTGAAGCAAGCAGTTGGCTAACTACTTTATTTCCATGGCAACATATTTGCCAAGCATCAGGGCTAACAATTGTCTTTTGTCAAGACCTAAGAGGCTTGGCTAGGTCTTGCTGGAGAGCTGTTAAGAAAACTCCTGTTCCACAGGTTTGACCACTTCAGCAGATACTTGTCCAGCTGCCAGTCTTACAGTCATAGATTCATCAAGTCGCAAGAGGGGTCTCCTGGTTATTCTAGACCAACCCCCCAAATTTCTGATAACACCAATGCTCAGAGGTAATTTGTTTCCGCAGACACAAAACACAAGGTGTGGAAGAAGTTGACTATCACACACGGGGCCGGATTTAGGTTTGATGAGGCCCTAAGCTACGGAAGGTAATGGGGCCCTTTTTATGTCCAGCTGTTCTTTGTCAACAACAAATTGTCGCTGTTTTTTGTGTTGAATATATGCTATATGGTAATTTACGGACCTAATAGCTATCTAAAGCCATTTGCACATAACAAATAGGAGCCTACACAACACAAAACACTGTTGCTGTATGTAGGTTTTATTTTATTTGTTTTTATTTTATATTCTGGAAATGTACATCCAGGTTTTTTTCCTTTAATTTTTTTTTTGGGGGGGCTCCAAGAGAGTGGGGCCCTAAGCTATAGTTTGTTTAGCTTACACATAAATCCGGCACTGATTCACACTTTGGCTAACTTACACGAATTTTGCTTGGCAGAAACATACTGAAATCCTTATAAGAGACATGTCACCTTCCAAATCCTTCTAGTTGAATCCCAGAGATATCTGGCTGGCCACTGCTGAGGACAGGACTTTGTTGTTGTTGTTTTTTATAAATATTTATTAAGATTTTCACAATATTACAAAATGAAAAAAGAAAAAGAAGAAAAAATACAAAATAAAAATAATTAAAAACAATTCAATCTTTCTATCATTTATCTTTCATTTACTTGTTTCCCGGACCTCCTCATACCTCCCTTTTATGTATTCCAGTTCCTGAGGACAGGACTTTGAAATAGAAAGTGAAGATGGTATCACACCTTGCCGGCTGCTTTTCAAACCAAAGAACTAAAGCAGCTCACGATGAAGACAAATAAACAATATAATGACAGAATAATCAAAACCCTACCACTGAAACCACACACAGAAGGCTTTTTTATTATTATTAATCAGGCATCATTAAAAACAAACAACATGAAAATAAAAAGAGCCATCCTAATACCATCAAATCTCAATAAGGGCCTGATTTCCACCACACCTCCAATATACAGTGGTACCTCTGGTTAAGTACTTAATTCGTTCCGGAGGTCCGTTCTTAACCTGAAACTGTTCTTAACCTGAAGCACCACTTTAGCTAATGGGGCCTCCCGCTGCTGCCACGCCGCCGGAGCACAATTTCTGTTCTCATCCTGAAGCAAAGTTCTTAACCCCAGGACTATTTCTGGGTTAGTGGAGTCTGTAACCTGAAGCGTATGTAACCCGAGGTACCACTGTATCTCCAGTCCTGACCCACAGGCAATCATGTTCTGATCTTATGTTCTTAAGTTCAGGCCTCCTGCCACTGTTCTCCAACTTCAGCTCACAGCAGTAATATGGGGGCACTGGGGAAGGGGTATTTTTTATTTTTTGTTTTGTAATCCTTGGCCAGACCTCAGTGTTTCCCGCTAGTAGAAACATAGCCAGACCTATAGGCCTTTGTCCCAAACCACAAAAAGCATCTCTTCCGTTATTCAGTGGGCAGGGAAATACATGCTCAGAGGCAATCTGTTCTATACTATATTTTTACACGCTCACAGATTGCGCCCAATGAATGAAAATAGGTTCTTGAGTGGGGTCTCAGGATCCAGGTATTTACAGTGGTACCTCGGGTTAAGTACTTAAACTGTTCTTAACCTGAAGCACCACTTTAGCTAATGGGGCCTCCTGCTGCTGCCGCGCCGCCGGAGCACGATTTCTGTTCTCATCCTGAAGCAAAGTTCTTAACCCGAGGTACTATTTCTGGGTTAGCAGAGTCTGTAACCTGAAGCGTATGTAACCTGAAGCGTATGTAACCCGAGGTACCACTGTATTTGTTTTAAGATGTTTATGAATTGCCCATCATCCTAAATCTCTAAGAGATTTACAGCAAAAATAAAGTACAGAGTTAACGTGCGCCACAAATAAAACAGTAGAGTATGAGGAAAGTGACCAGATAAAATTAACGTACCGGAAATGCTTGCTGAAATAAAAATGTTTTCACAGCACGGCGGAATCCATACAGTGTCAGCATCCATCTCACCTGGAAGAGCATCTGTTTTGCTTCCAGAAGGTCCCAGGTTCAGCCATTCACTCTCAGTTCAAGCACTCAAGTCGAGCAAACAAAACCTTTGACTGCCACCTCAGGATCTTAAAAACAGCTCCGTTGGATTTGACCAGTCCCAGATCCCATTTCCTGAAGCAGTCAACCAGTTGTTTGCAGGAAGTCCATAGGTAGTGTGTGATAGAAATAGATCTAACCTATAATATACCACCCTGCCCCCTGCATTCTGAGGAATATTACCTCTGGATATAGAGATTCTGTTTATGGCTAATATATGGGGTTCGTTGTTCCCATATGGCTCTTATCCTCCACAGATTTATTTAAACACCTTGTGAACCCTGCTAAGCCAATGGCTACTGTTACCGTAAGTTGTGGGTGAACATATCAGACGACACAGCGATTCTTCAAACAGCTCTTGTTTATTCACAGGCCAGAACAGAACTGAACTGAACTGAAGGGTTCAGTCAGCCTGTTTATATAGAGCTCCAGTACAATGTTACTGTAACAACTTTCTAAAACTATCCAATCACTGAATGTCACTTTCGATCCTTCATTTGCATAACTATCTACAGTATCCCCCTGCTGGCTCAGGATGAGAACTTCAGTACATAACAGCTACCATCATCCTTCCTCTGTCCTGTATCTTTTGCTAATAAATTTCACTGAGCTCTAGTATAATGGCATCTCCAGGTAGGGCTGTGAGAGAACTCACTCTGAAATCCTGGGGAGCCGCTGGCAGTCAGTGTTGACAATACTGTGCTAAATGGATGAATGGTGTTTGTATAAGGCAGCTCCCTATTTCCCTATCTTTCTATGTACAGTGGTACCTCGGGTTACAGACGCTTCAGGTTACAGATGCTTCAGGTTACAGACTCCACTAACCCAGAAATAGTACCTCGGGTTAAGAACTTTGCTTCAGGATGAGAACAGAAATCGTGCAGCGGCAGCAGGAGGCCCCATTAACTAAAGTGGTACCTCAGGTTAAGAACAGTTTCAGGTTAAGAACAGACCTCCAGAACGAATTAAGTTCTTAACCTGAGGTACTACTGTATCTCCACTGGATGGTCTGTTCTGAGTAAAGAGAGACTTGGTTTCTGGGACAGAAGGGCACCTCCCAAAGCTCAGTCCCTGATCATCCAAGTGGTTCTTGTTGTTTTACAAATCTCCTTTTGCATGTGTCTTTAGGTGAGGGGAGAGGGACTTTCTGTCATTCATCAGGCAATGGCTTTTTCCACCTGCCTTCCCCCACCACCCAGGCCTAGGAGCCTTTCCCAGACCATGACTTTAAGAACGGCAGAAGCAGCTGGGAAGACAGAAGCCAAGTTCAGGGATATTTTTTAAAAACAAAATATAAGTTGTATGTCCTCATTTCTCTATTTGATCCTTTTACATGGTTTTTTATGTTTTGTGGAATTTTATGCATTGTGACTTGCCGTTATTTTTATTGCTTATAAAAAGGTAAATGACCCCTGACAGTTATTTTTTTTTCTAATTTTTTATTAAAGTTTTAAACAACAAAACAAGAAAAACAACACACACAAAAAACAATACAAAACTTAACAATAAAAACACAAAGCACAACAATTAAAAACAAACTCTCTTTTCCATTTCCAATTTTAAATTACTTATTTTCTAGACTTCCTCATACCTCCCTCTTTTGTATTCCAGTCCACATTATTTGTCCAGCAGTTTCTTTTCCACTTTTTAATCCCAATCTTTAATTTAATAAAATGTTGAAATATATAACTTCAACTTTTTAAACCTAATCCTTGATCTTAATATCATATAACTTTAAAGTTTTCCCTTTTAATATCAAATTTCCATTTCTTTAAACATCTTTAATCTTAATCTTTAATCTTAATCTATCCTTAACTTTAACCTGTGCAGCTGGAAACCACTTGTTTTCAGTCCAACATCACTCTAACATTCCTTAATTTTGCAGTGTTTCTGAAGATAGTCTTTGAATTTCTTCCAGTCTTCCTCCATCGACTCTTCTCCCTGGTCACGGATTCTACCAGTCATTTCAGCCAGTTCCATATAGTCCATAAGTTTCATCTTCCATTCCTCCAGCGTGGGATGACCCCTGACAGTTAAGGCCAGTCGTGACCGACTCTGGGGTTGCGGCGCTCATCTCGCTTTACTGGCCGAGGGAGCCGGCATTTGTCTGCAGACAGTTTTTCCGGGTCATGTGGCCAGCATGACTAAGCCGCTTCTGGTGAAACCAGAGCAGCACACGGAAACGCCGTTTACCTTCCCGCCGGAGCGGTACCTATTTATCTACTTGCACTTGGATGTGCTTTCAAACTGCTAGGTTGGCAGGAGCAGGGACCAAGCAACGGGAGCTCACCCCGTCGCGGGGATTCAAATTGCTGACCTTCTGATCGGCAAGCCCTAGGCTCTGTGGTTTAGACCACAGCGCCACCATTATTTATTGTAGTTGGTAAGTGTAAATAGTTTCATTATTATTGCTGATATTTAATTTTACTATTTACTATTATACAGTAATGGATTATTGAATATTGCTTTATTTGATATAAGCTGCTTATTTTAAAGTTATTGTCACTTGTTTGTATTGGATCAGATTGTTATCACATGTGTGATCTTTGTTGTCTAATTTTGGTTGTTTCTTCAGCTTGTAAACCGCCCTGTATATAGTAATATAGGAAGGCAGTATACAAATTAAAAGTGAAATGAAATTTAAAAGCATACCTTCAAAACAGCTGGAAACACTTTTTCAAATGGCAACTAAAGATAGGTTTGAAAACAATACAAAGCAGACACTCATTGACAGAGATCCATTCATCCAACTGGGAAAGGTTGTCAGAGTGAAAATATTTTCAATTGTTTCCAAAAAGTACAGATAATAGGTGCTTATCCCAGCAGCAATGCTGTTCCACAAAACAGAGGCAGCCACACTGAAAGCTCTTTCTGCATACTGGGCTTCTAATATTTAAGGGCCTTGAAGGAGAAATCTCTTGCAGAACTACGGATGAGGCAGTCTCAGTGAGGCAGTGGTTCTGAGCTGCATAGGGCATAGGGCCTTATATGTTAATACTAACACCCACTGGCGGAGGAAGAGGAGTGGGGCGCCATCGCGGCTGCCCTCCCCGCCCGCGCTGGGCGCCATGCCCCTACAGGTGGTGCGGCACGCTCCCGGGTGCTCGTCAGACCTGCCCCTACCTACTCTCTGCCCCCCCCAGTGCCAGAGCATGAAACTCCGCCACCGCTAACACCTTGAACTTGGCTCAGCAGAAGATGGGTAGCGAGTGCAAATCCTGAAAACCAAGGTGTTGCATAGTTTGTCCCCACAAACAGCCTAGCCGTTGCATTTTGCACTAGCTGTGGCCTCTGGAGCAACCTCAGTGGTAAGTCTCACATAGATCTCTTTGCAGTAATTCAGCCTTGAATGATTGATAAACCGCCCTTTGACTGGATTCTCGGTGCCTGAAAGTTCAAAACATTGGCCCCATCTGCATTAAGCGGTATCATACTGCATTCAAAAGTCAGGACTTCCTCCAGAGAATCCTGGGAACTATAGTTTAAGGGTGCTGAGAGTGGTGTAACTATCAATCCCTCTTCCCAGTGTGGGAATTATAGCTCTGTGAGGGGAATAGCGCTCTCCTACTTACTTTCAGCAGCAATGGTTCCCAGGATTCTTAGAATTCTTGGGGAGGAATCTATGACTGTTGAAAGTGATATGATTATGCTTTGAATGTCTAGTGCAGACGGGGCCATTGTCTGAAAGAAATCCACGCTTCTCATTCTTGCTCATTCCCTGACACAGACAATTGCAGAGATAGCATCCCTTTGTCCTCTTCCAAGCTTTCCACTTTAATGAGCAACGCCACCTTCTGGCCACTTGGAAGTCTGCTAGGCAGGTTATTACATAGACATAGAGAGAAAGGAGGGATTCATCCTGCACACTTCTGGCAGGCCAGGCCGTTTTGGGCTGGTGATGGTGATCTGCTGGCCCTCACCCAAATCCGTGGGTCTACAATTGAGTGTCAGGTGCACAACCAACCCATGAGATCTACACTGTTGCACAAGGCTGTGATTGCTAGGGCTGTTGTAGAATCGATGGCTGCATTGTGTTGCAAGGATGTATGTGTTGGATTACCGTAGTTGCTTCAAGAGATCGCTCATGCCTTTAAATGTGAAATGAGACTAAAAACTGGCCAGTAACTAAAGGAGGAGGCTGCCTGCTTCCTTATTCACTCCCACATTTCTGTTGCCCTTTGATATGTACATAAAGAATATATATGTTCCATTTCTCTTCTGATGCTCCCAGTGTGCTGGGATTGCAGCCAGAGTAATACACAGATTATAGTAAAACAACTGGATCTAGGAAACTTAGATACAAACCGTTTTAGCTTTGAAGCCCACTCCATGACCTGGGGTGAATCATTCCTTGTAAAAACATGCACAACCTTCTGTACATGCAACAGAATAATAATAATAATAATAATAATAATAATAATAATAATAATAATGGCCTATATATAAAGCTGCCTTATACCAACTCAGAGAATTCCTGCACTCTCGCCTATAATGATTTTCCAACTTTTTGCATTTTAAAATATTCTGTGTCTATCTTCTCCATACCCCAACCAGTACTGATACAGTGGTACCTCGGGTTAAGAACTTACTTCGTTCAGGAGGTCCAGTCTTAACCTGAAACTGTTCTTAACCTGAAGCACCACTTCAGCTAATGGGGCCTCCCTCTGCTGCCGGAGCACAATTTCTGTTCTCATCCTGAAGCAAAGTTCTTAACCCGAGGTACTATTTCTGGGATAGCGGAGTCTGTAACCTGAAGCGTATGTAACCCGGGGTACCACTGTAATCTGTTCTATAGATAAATATGCAGAGCTGTGTGTACCGGCAGCTACTGCATGCAAGGATTTGTGGACTGGAGCAGCAATCTTGCATGGGCAATAGAAGAGGTGGGACCTGCAAGAAAATGTTGCAGCGTAGATTTCCTCCACTCAGTGCCTGCAAGTTAGAAACTTGGAATGTCATCCCACAAACTACTGTAGTTCTGTTAGTGCAAGGAACTTTGGCAGTGGCCAATCACACATGTTTTTAGGGCATCTTCCAAATTCCTGATTCTTGATGTTTGTGAAAAAGACCACCTTTTATATCAGCCTATACACAGTAATCCTGCACATATGACTGATCGGCTCACCTTATATAGATCAGCCAAATGATTAACTTCTGGTGACAACATTGTATGTTACACATTCACCACTGAGGAAGTGTCCTTGGTTGAAAAATGTTTGGTCTTTAGCCTTACTTTTTATCATTATTCATCACATTAGCTTGATGTGAAGGCATCATTCTGTTGCTATCATAAACTAGGGTTGCCATATTTCAAAAAAATGAAAATTTGGACGGAAAAGTTGTTTAGTTGTTGTTGTTTTTGCAAAGTTTTTTTGGGGGGGGGCATCTCAAATAACATTGAAATATTTGAGCTATTTTAAATGGAACTTCCTATCATAAATGCTGTGTTTTAGAAATTTCGTTCCTATGTTTGATGCGTGGCCATACAGTTTGTAAGACTGAAGTTGAATTTTCTTTTCATACACATTTTATCAGGGGCATAGCGTGGGAGGAAGGGAGCGCTGCCAGGGCCAGTGCCCCAGAGCACATTTTCCGGTGGGAGGTGCGTGCACGCTGCTCACACTGCCCTCCCCAAGCCCGTCCTCTGCTGTTTTGCGAGGCTGTGGGATCACAAGGTGGGGAAAACCATAAGGCCAGCCCATGCCTCTACATAGCTCCATCCTTATTTCAGACACCGTGATATACAGTGGTACCTTGGGTTACATACGCTTCAGGTTACAGACGCTTCAGGCTACAGACTCCGCTAACCCAGAAATAGTACCTTGGGTTAAGAACTTTGCTTCAGGATGAGAACAGAAATCTTGCAGTGGCAGCGCAGAGGCAGCAGGAGGCCCCATTAGCTAAAGTGGTGTTCTTTACACTCTGCACGTGCTCAGAGGTGGCCTTCATTATTCCTCCCCATGCTAAGGCCCTGGCATGGAGAAGAAGTTCTGCAACTGGCTTCCTGACAAGCCCTTCCTCCAAAAAGCCAATTTTTATACATGTCTATCCCATTTAAATGAGCTTAGGTAAAGGTAAAGGGACCCCTGTCCATTAGATCCAGTCGTGGCTGACTCTGGGGTTGCAGCGCTCATCTCGCTTTATTGGCCGAGGGAGCCAGCATACAGCTTCCGGGTCATGTGGCCAGCATGACTAAGCCGCTTCTGGCAAACCAGAGCAGCGCACGGAAACACCGTTTACCTTCCCGCCGGAGAGGTACCTATTTATCTACTTGCACTTTGACATGCTTTCGAACTGCTAGGTTGGCAGGAGCAGGGACCGAGCAACGGGAGCTCACCCCGTCGCGGGGATTCGAACTGCCGACCTTCTGATCAGCAAGTCCTAGGCTCTGTGGTTTAACCCACAGCGCCTTTGCCCATTGGCATGCCAGAGATTGGTGACCTGGAAGGGCAGCTCTCTCCCCTCTCAAGCTGAGCTGTTGTTACGACCACCAGTGAAACCATGAACCAGAGTGAATGACAGGCAGGTCCATCGTCTCCCCTCTCCCAGATCAATCAACCCATGAGCGAAAAGAAACCCCTCTCTCTTTCTCCCCTTCTGACCAACACCTGAGGAATTTGCCTGAAGCCACACGGCTGACAGCTCCCAGATGCCGCCCCTGCACAGCCGGTGCATTTACTGCGAGCAACCGAGGGTCACGTATCATAAACCCAGGCAGTGCTACAGATGTCTTCATAATATTTTACAAGAGCTGTGTGCAGCGTTACCCATATTTCAGCTGGGAGCGTGAGAGTGAGAGAAAGCGATAAGAAAGGGGGCGGCGTAAAGGAGCACAAGGTTGCGTGGAGCTCACGGTGGAAACTGGAGAAGGCTTTGAGATTTTAAAAGCCTTAACAAAAGGGGGCAGTTGGGGGCGGGGGGCGGGGAGAGAGAAGAAACTGTTCAAAGTCTGCTTCCTGATCCACCAACAGGGCACTGAGCCAAGGAGGCGCAAAATAATAATTAATAAAAAACGGATTTTTGTGAAAATAATAATTTAGTGGGGGATGCCCAATTTTGTCCTTGCTCAGGGCGCCATGTGACCAAAGTCCGCCACTGGTTCTTCCTCCCAACTTCGTTGCTGCCCCTTTTGTCTTACATTTCGCTCTATCAGCTTCCCCCAAAACTATAGTTCAGTGTTTGCAAAAGGAAAACCCTGGCCACCTAGAAAGTTAACTGAAATATACTCAGAGTCGCAAAGTGATTTCATGCTCTTTATTCAGCTCATAGTGGTGAGGAGGAATGAATGAAAGTCCCCTCAAAGTATCTGCTTTATATACATTATTTACACAATGGGCTGCACATGATTGGCTAATTCTGGAATTCTACTGTAAGCCAATCAGGTTGTGGATTCATTTATATCTGGAGCATGATTGGGTGGTTCCTGCCAACCAATCATACTGCTGCATTGTTCTAGGACCAATCAGACTGCTGCAATTTGGATCCTATTGTTCTAGGACCAATCAGACTGCTGCAGTTTGGATCCTATTGTTCTAGGACCAATCAGACTGCTGCAGTTTGGATCCTATTCAACTCAGTACATAACATTAACTGAAACTGTATTTGGTGCCAGTGGGAGGTGGTAGCCAAAAGCATGGAATTATGCTTAAATTGCACAGTCCATTGCTGGTCTTGCAGTTCCTGCCACCTGTGATGTGTGGCAGTGGTGGACATTGGACTCTGAAATTTCAGCGGTGCCCTGTGCAATGCTAAATTCCCCCCCTCCACCTCTTGCACACCATTCTACAGCACTGTTGCAGCACCCCCTGCAGCATGGCGCCCAGTGCGGCCAAACCAGTTTCGTTGCACTAAAACTGCCTCTGTGTGTGGCTTTGCACGATAAGGTCCCAGGTTCAGTTGCAGAAAGCAGGACTGGACAATACAGGCAGTGTGGTGTAGTGGTTAGAGCAGGTGGTGCCCTCCTGGTGTTGTTGAACTACAACTCCCATCATCGCTGACCATTAACCATTTTGAGTAGGGATGATGGAGTAGGCATGGTCACATAACAACAGGAGAGCACTAGTTTGGTTACCCCAGGTCAGGGTGTTGGGTTGCGGACTTGGGAGACAAGGGTTCAAATCCTCACTTGACCATGAAGTTCATTGGGTGACCCTGGACCCGACACAGTCATTCAGCCTAACCCCCAAAACCACAGAAAGTTGTTGAGCTTTTTTGATGAAAAAGCCAGAAACACACAATTTCCCGGACACATGGCAGCCCTATTCTGGGGGGTTTTCCCCACCCCAGCTGGTTGAAGGGGCAGAGTGGGAGGTCCTGTGTGTTGGCTCTCGCTAGCGCAACTATCTCGCTGAATACTGAATTTACAATTAAAATATAAAGCTGAGGTTTGCAATCCATGTTTTTGGCAGTCTACGTAATGCAAAGTCTAGCTTCAAAACTGTTAGGAGAAAGACGTAACTGCTCTAATTCTGCTTTGCGGCAGCAAGGGGGAAAGAATTCGAGATAGACATCCCTTTGGTTCCTTAATCTTGAGAGAAGTATGTGCTTAATGTTATCAGGAAAGTTTAAGAATCGGAGCTCAAGGAAGTATTACGATGATTTGGAGTTTGATTTGTTGCCTCTGCAGCTGGATGGCTCGTTGCTGATTTATACTGTGGACTCGGTTGTATATGTACCTTTGGGCTATATGTTTTCCAGCCTTGGGGATGTGTTTCTTTAATTATATTCAAATTAATAAAAAGTTAAATATAATGGAAAGTAAATCTGAGTCACATTTCCCACATAACAAACTCAAAACTTCAGAATCCCTCTCTCTACTACATAAATTTCAGCTCTATAAGCCAGACTTCTATGGCCAATTTCTGCAATAACTCAGAGCAGGACTGGCTCAAACTATCTTGTTGCCTTGGATGAAAATAGCTTGTTGCACTGGGATCAGAGGGGTTGTGTGAAGTCATGGTTGCCCTACCAGTGAATGAAGCAAGGCATTCACTGGGGTGAGGGTGTGACTGGGAGCCATTACTGCTGTAACCCTGAGAGTTCTCCAAAGTAGCCCAAGAGCACCTGGTAAATTTGACAATTCCAAGCAGCTGAATTGATTGACTTGGATCCAGACTAAGTTAGTAGTTGTTGTTTATTAATCGCCTTCCACAGGTTAAAAGCTTTGGGATGCAACTCAGCCAGTGGGTTTGCATAGGAGAAAGGAGACACAGAGGTGCAATCTAGGCACATATAAAAAACATTGTGAAAATGCTTTTTTAAAAAACGTTATGAAATAATATATTGAATTTGCCATAGCTCACCATCAAGGGGAAGCCGGAGGAGGCAGCAGTGGCTGCAGCCTGAGGGGGGAGGAGGAAGAGGAGGGGATGGGGAGGGACGCAGAAGGGTGGCGCTTCCGCGGCCGCTGCGGCACCCCAACCACCTCATGCCAGGCTCGCAGGCGGCATGGGCGAGTCTCTCTCTCCCTCCCTCCCTCTCTCTCGGGCGGGGAAGGGCCGATGGAACTCCTCGCGCCAGGACGACGGCAGCCCTGACGTGCTGCTTAGCATCCCCTCCAACCAGTGCAGCATCTTAATGTAGTGATTTCCCCCTCTGCATCCCTTTCATAACTAGTTTTATAAATCATTTGTCCACCCATAGTTCAAATTTTTACTACAAGTTTTCTGTCAATCCTACCAATGCATGTAACTCTTTACAATAGCTTTGCAACTAAATTATAAACTTTCCCCATTCCTTATTAAAGAGGTCCTCTTCCTGGTTTCTAATTCTGCCTGTTAGCTTTGCCATCTCGACGTCGTTCATCAGTTTTGTCTGCCACTCTTCTTTGGTCAGAGTTGTATAGACCCTTAGGATCATCTAGTCCAATCCCCTGCAAAACAGAGTCAGTCGCAGCAAAAGCAGCATGGCTCCATCAGTGCGGGATTTCTGTACAAGCTAAGCAAAATCCCTTATTTTGGCTGCTGATCCCTTATTTTCGAGGCTGCTGGTCCCTTATTTTCAAATCTGTAAGTTGACAGCTATGCTCTCTGGCATGTAGCTCACACAGTTTTGCACACAGGAAACTAACCTTTACTACAGAAGGGAGCAACGTAAGGCCTGAGAGCTGAAAGAAATCCTTCCTGCCTGGTCCTTTTATAACTGGAGGTGGCAGGGGGTTGAATGGGGGGGGGGACGGACGTCAGCATGCAAAGCCTCTGCCTGTCTCCCTCTGCTGGCACCCGGTAGACACCAGACAGAGGTCTCAACACTGTCACATGAAAACACTATAGCTTTGCAGGGGTCGTGGGGTGTCAGATCGACACAGCCCAGAGAGGATGAATACAGTACAGTGTTTATTGGAAATACCTTAAGCTCAGGGGCTAATCTTGAGAATGGGTGACTTTTGTTCATTCTTGTATTGCAGAAACGGCCTGCAGGACTAGCGAGGAGCCTTGCTTGACTAGCAGCTTCACAATGGCTGTGGGTGAACAGCCTGGCCTCATGCACATATCTGCAGGAATCCCCTGGTTTCCTCCAGGCACAAGTGCCACCTGGTGGCCACTTGGAGAGCAGCAAGCCCAATCTGTTGACAAAGCCACGTCAACTTGATTAATACCTGACAATTAATAAATATGCACGGTAAATTCATAAAGTTTCTGTGTACTATAAAGTCGCCATAAATCCCAGGCATCTATGGTGTAGATTAAAAGCATATAAATACCAAGGATATAAAATATTACCGATAGTAAAAGAGTTTGTTATATCCCAATTATGTTTCCTACTTTGCTTTTTCATCGCATTATATCTACGTGTGTGTGTGTGTGATTCTGCTGTTGTACAGTGTAACTGAATGGCGTAAAATATGCCAGGCTTTCAAGCCATTTGAGACACTTTAAATGGCAGCACTTTTAATTTACTTGTTACATTGATGTTAAAGCTCGCAGTAACTTTTATTAATAAAATCGTCGCAGCCACCATGTGTATAAATGCAAACACAGAATTGTCTTTAGACCACCTACAAAAATAGCAAGCTGTGTTAGACCAAGCCAAGCCATTGGCCCATCTAGGTCAATATTGTCAACACTGACAGGCAACAACTCTCTGGGTTTCAAGCAGGGGTTTTTCCCAGGGGTTGAACCTGAGACCATCAGTGTCCTGAAGTGGCAGGACAATGGAAAAGAGGAAGAGGATCCTGGCGAGGTGTGTAGCTGGGACTGAGACACAAGCTGGGGATGCGGAAGGAGAGGTTGGTGTAGGAACTACTCACAGGGTGATGGAGGGTGACAAGGGGTTGTGGGGCAAGGCACAGGAACCAGAGCAGCAGGACCCATCACCAGAGCCAGAGGGGCTCCAGTCTCCACTAACTGTTGGGATTCCATTCCACCTTTCGTTGCAAACATGGGACTGTTGCGTGTCACATGTCTGTTTACATTCCAGCACAGATTGCTGGGTTCCGCTCTGTGTACTGCTTTTGATTTTGGTCTCTCTCCTAGAAGACAGCAAGGAGAGACGACCCATAGTGGTGCTGTGGGTTAAACCACAGAGGCTAGGACTTGCTGATCAGAAGGTCGGCGGTTCGAATCCCTGCGACGAGGTGAGCTCCTGTTGCTCGGTCCCTGCTCCTGCCAATCTAGCAGTTCGAAAGCACGTCAAAATGCAAGTAGATAAATAGGTACCGCTCCGGCGGGAAGGTAAATGGCGTTTCCGTGCGCTGCTCTGGTTCGCCAGAAGCGGCTTGGTCATGCTGGCCACATGACCCGGAAGCTGTAAGCCGGCTCCCTCGGCCAATAAAGCGAGATGAGCGCCGCAACCCCAGAGTCGGCCACGACTGGACCTAATGGTCAGGGGTCCCTTTACCTTTACTTACAGCCTCAAGCCTCTTACGTTGGGCAGTTTACACTGCTGAGTAAAGTGTGCTCAAGTCTGAGTCACTGATCACGTCGGAGCAGAGGTCAATGAATCTCCACAGCGGCAAGGCTGAAGGGAGACGCTCCAGCTGGGGCCCTGCCAGCTGGCCTTATGACCCCAAGATTCCAACACAAACATGGTGGGGTTCTGAGGTGTAGGAGCAGTGGGAGGGACACTCTAGGACAGGGGTCAGCAAACTTTTTCAGCAGGGGGTCGGTCCACCGTCCCTCAGACCATGTGGTGGACTGGACTATTTTGGGGGGAGAAATGAACGAATTCCTATGCCCCACAAATAACCCAGAGATGCATTTTAAATAAAAGCACACATTCTACTCATGTAAAAACACCAGGCAGGCCCCACAAATAACCCAGAGATGCATTTTAAATAAAAGCACACATTCTACTCATGTAAAAACACCAGGCAGGCCCCACAAATAACCCAGAGATGCATTTTAAATAAAAGCACACATTCTACTCATGTAAAAACACGCTGATTCCCGGACCATCCGCGGGCCGGATTTAGAAGGCAATTGAGCCGGATCCGGGCCCTGGGCCTTAGGTTGCCTACCCCTGCTCCAGGAGGCTGAGGCAGGCAAGGGCCCACAGCCCAGATTGCTAGCTGGCCATGTGGGGCTCGCTAGCTCTGGGAGGAGGTGTGTGATTCCTCAGCTGGAGTTGGCTCGGAACAGGTGAGGGTCACCTGTCTCATGAAACCCAGACGCTGCAATCAGCAGGCATAGTATAAAAGGGCAGCAGAGCTGAGGTGCTATGTCTGCTTGACTGTCCATGTTGATGGACCTCAGCTTGGATGCTCCAGGTTCTCTGTGGGACTGTGCTTGCGACACTTGGATTGACCCTAGACCGGGGGACTTGACATACAGTGGTACCTCGGGTTAAGTACTTAATTCGTTCCGGAGGTCCGTTCTTAACCTGAAACTGTTCTTAACCCTAAGACCACTTTAGCTAATGGGGCCTCCCGCCTCCCGCCGCCCGATTTCTGCTCTCATCCTGAAGCAAAGTTCTTCACCTGAGGTACTATTTCTGGGTTAGCGGAGTCTGTAACCTGAAGTGTCTGTAACCTGAAGCGTATGTAACCCAAGGTACCACTGTACTGACTTGCCGCCAGGGGTTCAGGACATTCTGCATGGAAAGCATATGCTTTGCCGCTGAGTTATGGTCTTCCCCCAAAAAGTTGTATGCCCATTTCCTTGAGAATAACTTCAGTAGTGAATGTGCACAGAGGACAGCAGGTCTAATCCAATGATCCCTTCTGGGACCCATCACTGCAACCTTTCAACATCACCCTCAATGTTGGCGATAACATGTGATTCTCGATACAACTATAGAGAAGCTGAGGACAATGCAAGCAAAGCAGTTCAGAAGTGAAGAAAGATCTGTCACTTTTATGGGTTGCCACCTAGTGCTTTTATTGATTCATAAGTCTGATTACATTTGTGTACGGTCCAGCCAAGTATACAAACAGGCAATATACATTTGTATACTGCCCCATTTGCATAGCGCATACTGGGTGGTCTGCATAAGCCATAAAATACAAAATACCATTCACAATAAAATAAACCAATTCGCAATAAACCGAAGCAAAATAAATCTCAGCAGCTGCAAAAGGATGCATGCAACCGGAATCGGCATAAAACGCAGAGGCTAGAATAATTTAATCAATTTACAAAACCAGCATAATCCCCAGCAGAGGAACCTTGGTGCAAAAAAAATATCCAAAGCACTAGGTGACTTGTGATTAAAAGGCAGAGCAAGATCTTCATCTGGTGCCTAAAAAGACTATAGCATGAGCACCAAGCAAGCCTCTCTGGGGAAGGCATTGCATAACCAGGGTGCCACTACTGAAAAGGCCCTTCTTTTTAGGAGCCACCTTCCATATTCCAATGGGCAGAGGAACCTGGAGAAGGACATCCAAAGGTCATTTCAAGGTCCAGGCAGGTCTGTGGCTGGGGCCCATTCTGACTGATGGAGCAGAAGGCGTGGAGTCAAAAATGTAGGGGCAACCAGATCCAATGACAGGCAAAGGCCACAAATTCTAGTTTCCCCCGCATCCTCCCTGCTGAATTCTGCAAGGGTAATACTGAGACAGAAGAGGAGGACCAAACTGAGTAGCTGGAAAGCAAGCAGGTGGGGGCTGGCTGAGGTTGGTGGGCCAGTGCCCCATTTGCCTCTGTGGACCAGTCTCTACCAAAGGAAGAAATAGAACAGGCACAACTTTTTTTTTAAGGAACACAGGAAGCTGTCTGTATTGTCTAATTGACAACTGTGACTCTAAGGTAGAGAGCATGGGTAGGCAAACTAAGGACTCGGGGGCCGGATCCGGCCCAATCACCTTCTAAATCCAGCCCGTGGACGGTCCAGGAATCGGTGTGGTTTTTACATGAGTAGAATGTGTCCTTTTATTTAAAATGCATCTCTGGGTTATTTGTGGGGCATAGGAATTCGTTCATTCCCCCCAAAAAATATAGTCCGGCCCCCCACAAGGTCTGAGGGACAGTGGACCGGCCCCCTGCTGGAAAAGTTTGCTGACCCCTGGTAGAGAGTCTTTCACACCACCAGGGACAGGATTGTTTTTTAGTTAAAACGGTCATGGGTTGAATCTGTACCTTCTGCAAGCAAAGCGGAATACCCAAATCCGAACTAAGGCTGGTCCTCCCTTCCATTTCAAGTGTGCTAGCAGAGGCCACCTCATGAGAAGAGAAGTCTCCCTGGAAAAGACCCTGATGTTGGGAAAGATGGAGAGCACAAGGAGAAGGGGACGGCAGAGGACGAGATGGTTGGACAGTGTTCTGGAAGCTACCAGCATGAGTTTGACCAAACTGCGGGAGGCAGTGGAACACAGGAGGGCCTGGCGTGCTCTGGTCCATGGGGTCACGAAGAGTCGGACACGACTAAACGACTAAACAATAACAAGAGGAGGCTGCTGGGAGTCATAGTTCAAAACAAGTGGAGGGCTCCACATGGCTGCTATCCCTGAACTAAGTTTCTGTAGTGTAGTGGTTATCACGTTCGCCTAACATGCGAAAGGTCCCGGGTTCGAAACTGGGCAGAAACAACATGAAATTTTGATAGCCAGTGTGGTGTAGTGGTTAAGAGCGGTAGATTCGTAATCTGGTGAACTGGGTTCGCGTCTCCGCTCCTCCACATGCAGCTGCTGGGTGACCTTGGGCTAGTCACACTTCTCTGAAGTCTCTCAGCCTCACTCACCTCACAGAGTGTTTGCTGTGGGGGAGGAAGGGAAAGGAGAATGTTAGCCGCTTTGAGACTCCTGAAGGGGAGTGATAAAACGGGATATCAAATCCAAACTCTGCTTCTTCTACTACTACAGTATGAAGTTCCTGAAGCTATGGTCCTATGGACTGTCTTTAAGCTGAAGAAAAGCAATGAGATCAGCCCCGTCCCTCCCATCCTGCTTTTTAGCAAATGTCTTTTTGTTTCACACTGCTTTTTAGGGTACCATCTAGGTTTCAAATCCACTGCTATCAGATTTTAAGTTCTTCTGCTGCCTGTTTCAATCGTTTAAGGTTTGGGGGTGTTGTCTATTTAATTGTTAGATATTTTACTATGTGTGTAACACACAAACACATTCACAATTAAGCAAGGGAGTGTTTTCATGCAAAACTCTTTTTTTTAGAAAAACATGTTGCCTTTCCAGTTCGTTGTTTAACAGCGGCGTGTACGTT